GTGTTATTTGTAGCAAATACTGAAAAAAGGCTTCAAACAATTGTTTAAGATTATGTCAGCTGTTTCACATGAGTGACTTGTAGATACAAAGTTTATTCAATTTTTTTCATAAAATGTAAATGTTGCAAATGTTTTAAACGATTCAATAGCTGCCTATTTCTCCACAAAACATTTTGAAACTTTTTTCTTCAGTTTGATGTGACGGGGCACATGGCAGTGTCCCTTCCAGTCCATCCCATATATACAGTTACTGTAGGTCCATACATATTTGGACACTGACACAAATTTTGTCTTTTTACATGTTTACTGAAACATTTTCAAGTTATAGTTATATAATGCACAAGGACATAAAGTGCAGACATTCAACTTTCATTTGAGAGTATCCACATTAAAACTGGATGAAGGGTTTAGGAGTTTCAGCTCCTTAATGTAACATGTGCCACCCTGTTTTTAAGGGGACCAAAAGTAATTGGACAATTGACTCCAAGGCTATTTCAGCAGACAATTTGTTTTGATTGAATGAGTGAGAAAAGCTCTAAGAGGAAAGAAGTGAGCCAGGGGTATCTTGAGTTCAGCTCATTTCACAGTGGTTTATTTGGAAAGCAGGAAGCAAGCGGGATATTTGTGCCATTCAGGCTCAGAAATGTCAGCTGTGAACTGGCAGCCTCACGCTGCAGCTTTCAGAAAAGCTCTGCGATAACACAAGACGCAACATGCAGCCCAGGAGTTTACATGTAAACCTTTTTTTCCCGGACGGGATTGTGTCGCTGCGCAAACTCTAACGGTRAGAGATCAAACTTGAAATCCCGCTGCCATGTAGTCGTTTAGATGTTGTCATAATCTAATCTGCCGTTGCTTGGCTGAACATGTGCAGGGCAGCGCAGAGCGAAGCTTTCAGCTGAGCACAGAGAGCGAGCTCCTTGGAAGGATTTACACAAAGAAACAACAGAGGATATAACTCGCCATCTCAGTGCGCTCTGAAGAGCTCTCCCTGGAGACCAAACACAGCTTGGAATGTTGAGCCATTAAGACGCAGCAGAGATTTATATCAACAATTTTATAATACCACAAAGTGCTTTCTACTGAATTATGTCTCATGAATCGGCTTACAATAACAAGTCTTATATTTGTATTATCACTGAATATTGTTGACATTCTCCTGTTCTCACACGGAACAGTCCAACTACAGAAGGTGTTTTAACTCCAGTGAATCTACAATTTGCAGTTTTGCACAACATTTTCACTAACGTATCACTTTAAACATTTTAAAAAATATTGTAAAAAAACAAAAAAAGAATGCAGTCTGTGTTTATCTCACCTCTCCCATCTTCCAGCTCCTTGGCGCTGCGCCCCTTGAGCGCGCGGTTCCAGTTGCTGCTGTACTCCGCCCCCCGGCCCTCACGTCCGCTCTTCCTCATCCAGCGRGGTCCGGGTTTCCGACCCGACCTGTGCGTCTCCCGAAACACTCTGCTCATGATGCCGAGCCCCCGGGCGTCTGGCGACGAGGCTCGGCCGCCCGCCTCCGAAGCCGCGACGGAGACCCGGGCCCCGCGGGCACCAGARCTCCTGTCCCCGACAAAGCCCGTGTGCAGGAAGACTAGGCTCCCGGCCGTCAGGTAGAGGAGGATGAGGGAGAAGAACCTGACAGGTTTCCTGCAGAAATAGCGCTGTATTCTCAGGAGAGGCTTGGCCATGCTGGCTCCCTCTGCCACTTTGACACTCCCTCACGGTGAGGAAAACTCATAAAGCAAGAATCAATATCAGCTCTCTGTCTGCTCCCACCTCACAGCCCCACTGAGGGCAGGGGAWAAAAAAGGAGTCAGTCAGAGTGTCTTAATCTTGTATGAAGGTCATCCAAGCGATCACATGACGCCTGCCTTATGTATGAATCTTCAGTCTCGTAAGTGTGGTGCTCTGCATGGGGGGGCACCGTGCTTCCCTGCAGACTGGGTCCGCGTGAGAGTCCGTGTGCGTTCCCACCGACAGTCCAACCCTCGCAGCCAGCTACAGGGCCATGGCATGAAAGGTGAGTGGCTCAAAGTGAAAGATGATCGCTCAGCGCTGCTTTCTCTCTCCAGTTATCAGCCTGTACAAAGATRCCACAACAGCTCTGCAGTGGCACTTTCTCCCACGCTGCGCCCAAGGAAGAGGGCTTCTTTTTTTATATAAGCAGCTGTAGAGCCGGTTATTCACCGAGACGATCCTGGCGAAAAGAGGGTGTGACTCACCATCTGCAGTAAACGCACACACACACACAMACACAAGGGAGAGGAAAAAAAATAAGCACATCAAAGTAATAATTATCATTTGCAAGCAGCAGATAAATAAATAACCCAAGCAAGTTACGGAACGATAAAGAYCTAAACGTTCCTGATCAAATTTATATGAGTCTGACTTATCTTTGGGGAATCAAACAGACATTTCAACCGTAAGCAAAGAAAATCAAAACATACGACTAAAAGCGTTAAGAAATATCACATTTTATGGTTTACACCAGCCACTCAGAAACACTTAACCGTATCAAGTTTGGAGTTCTGCACCATCTTTGGTGAATTAGCTGAAGTCATGAGATGAAAACAAGACAGAAAGAAAAGTGGTACCCTGCAGCACTTTCACTGAGCTGTCTCAACTCCAACATGCTGTATGGGAACGTTAGAAAATTAATAACATAAATCTGGATGATCTAAAATGACAGAATCAGAGCAAGCGCACTAAAAGAATGCAGAGGTTCAAATCTGGCCGAGCAAACTTATCCAGTAAATCTAAACCGCTTGTCCTTAAATAAACAGTTGTTGTTTTTTTTTTCTTATCATTATTCTGTCAAAGGTTTACTGATAACTGCTTTTTTTTCTCTGCCTCCTCACTATAAAAAAAGTCTGCAGCTTTCCTCAAAGGAGTCTCTGTTCTGGGACAAGCTGAGGAGGTCACGACTGGGAGGTGTAACGCAACACTCCTCAAGGTCAGGGAGTTTTCCAGAACATTCGAGGGGACGCGCAGCCCTCGCGGCTTTCTGTCCGCCCGGGGACAAAATCTGCACCGTACTTGTCACCTGAAACTCCCACCTTGGTTTTCCGCTCCTCTGCCTCTCCACACGCAAACCATTCAAGGGGCTTCAACAACCTGCATCATCCGCACAGAAAACAACCCTCGTACTGTCTGACATCCCCAAACCTGAGTCCTCAGGGGTCGCCTCACAGACACTAAATGTGGGACTGAAACTGAGTCATAAAGCTGGGAGTTCATGCAGGTTAAGAATGAAGGTGGAAATTTATTGTGGTGGACGATGCMGCATGAAAAAAATCTTAATCTTAATTGACAAGCTTCAGATTTAGAGTCAGATTAAAACATTGCTACTGATCTGTTTTCTGAAGAAAAATCGGAGGAGAAGCGGGCTCGCTTTTGGAAACAAATTATGTTTTTCTTTACTTAAAACAGCAAATGAACGTAGCATCAAACTATTGTGTAGCTAACCCGAGTGTTTCTTTTTTTGTGTGTCATTCCCATGAACATGAGCAGCCTCTGATCCACGTGAATGTTGCTGCACAGTTTGATCGGTTCTTCAGTTCAGCAGCTGTACAAACATATTGGGGAGTCACTCCCACACACCACCTCAGACTCTAACTGGGATGAGTCTTCAGACCTGTGCGAGAAATCTAGGGAGCTACTGAGTTTTACCAAGAACTGAGTTAGAAAAACGAAAAATAAAACAATTTATTTCAACATTAGTTCCACATCTGTGTGGAGGGAAACTATCAGCAGCTGATCTTCTAATGGGCCAGTTTGGTGCCAGATTTTGGGGTTGATGCATGTAAAAAGCGTGATCCCTTTGTCCTGTAATGGTGAACAGATGGGGAAAATGTACATGCGATACCACTGCGTCACCCATGAATGCAGCTTCACTTGTTCAAGTGAATTACTCATGTTAATAATTTACATCCTGCCCTTGTCGCAAAAAAAAGCAACTGAGCTCTTCTCAGTTAACAGGAGCACAAATGGACTCTAACTTTACACAGCTCTGAGGCTATTTAAAAGACTACCTTTTTTAAATCAGCATCTCTACTCAAATGACAAACAATTCAGCATCTGGTAAATTACAACACAAACGCATTTCCTTCAACCTAATGTGGCGATTAGGTGATCACCTGAAAACCACTGCTACATGACCAGCTGGATGACAAAACCACTAACAGTTGCTGAAAATAAATTATTAGCAAAAAAAAAAAAAAAAAAACTATTGATCATGCCTAAGGAGTTGAAAATAAAAAATTTGGTTCTGGCTGTACTGGCAGAAGGACAGTGTCACCGTCAGGTTTTAAGTGTTTCAGTTGTAGCTGAAGGACCACCGGATCAAGACCCTGCCYTGACCAGCCTAATCTCCAGACCTGGACCGTATTTAAATCCTCTGGAATTTGTTCAAGAAGAAGATGGACTGTCACAAGGCATCAAACAGAGCTGAGATGATTGAATTTTTTTAAGACCAAGATGAATAAGAAGTCACCGCAGACACGTGGAGAGCATTAAGCTGTGAAGAAATTATTGGGGTTTAGATTATATAACTGATTTAAATTACATACACATGGTATAGTTTTATGATAGAACTGTAAAGATTGTTAAATGTGACTGTTTTGCTTAACTTGATGATTTTATATTAAATAGCTACATGCCTGAAAACAAATTCAACACGTAACTGAACTTTTAAATCTTCATTAGAAAAAGGTTATAATGTCTGGGGGCGTGGCTTCGAAGTAGGGACCCTCCCTTGCTGATGACGTAATCAAAACAGGCGGAGCCATGCCTCAGAGGTTTTGTTAAAACTAAATGTACTTCCTCATTGTCGGTCTGAACTCTTGGTGACTTGATTAAACCAGACTTCGGCAAAGAGCGCTCTTTGGTTTTGTATGGTTTCTCTTTAATAATCCTTTCCAGGCATTTGTACATTCTCCRTRTGGTTAAGCACACAGCCGGTAAACGAACACGAATAACTCCATTTTCTTTCAGCTGCATGAAAGTTCTGATTTAAAATCAGGGTTATTACATCAAATATTAATTTCTGATCTCTCCCTGCATTAAAACATTTTTGTGAAGTCTAAAAATAAATCTAACCTCAACTTTGTTGCATAAGATGTAAAAACTGACAAATCTATTTTGCAATCAACACCTTACTAAAAAAATATGACCTCATGTTTTTAATTACAGATTCAAATGCTGTATTGATGTTTCCTACGGAGTTAGAATCGGTACAAGTTAAAACTCAGATCCGATTGTCAGATGAGAAGAATAAAAGCAGCAGAACTGTGAGAGAGAGGCCATCGGTGATGCTTTGTTTGTTTGTTTGTTTATTTGTTTGCCAGAGCAGACATAGACTTGCCTAATGCCCATTAATTTACTTTCATAACAAATGAACCGGCAAATTTAATCAGAGCAGATTTACGGTTTGAAAAGCTCTAATTTAATCTTGGGTGAGCAGGCGCACAGCCAGCTCTGCTTGTGCTGCAGGCGAATGAGTCCACAAGTCAGATCTGGAAATATTCTTTATCTGCTGGGCATCACCGAGAGGCGCTGAGGAGGACAGAAATACAGTGACAGGAGTTCATAACTGAAGCATTACTAAACACTACATGTGTTTGAGACGATACTGCAGCTTACTTTACTCTCACAAGCATCAAGATCTGATCTGAGGATCTGGAACTCTTGACAGGAATAAACAATCTTCATGATACTTTGTACTGCAGTTGCTATAAGTTTCTATTTTTATTTCCTCTTCTCCCACTTAACATTCCAATCACTTGAACATGGGCGAGGCCTCCTGACCACCAGAACCCCCTCCGCACTTCACTGCAGCTGCAGTAAATTAGCCGGGATGTCCTCTGAAAGCTGAAAACTGTTTGTCCCTCGCTGCGTTTTTTTAAGAGTTGTTAGGAAAAGCGTGGCAAAGTGTTAGCGAGGTTGCGTTCGGTGTGCAGCTGAAAGAAAAACAGCCCCGATGGCCATCGACAATACACTGAAGGAAAGAGGCAGTGAAACACGGCTGTTATGGAAACATGATCACAGAAAGCAGGAAGAGAAGGTCATCAATGAGTCCGCTGTTAGAAGGACAGGAAGCTGTTTATGTTGTGTCTTATTGTTCTTTTCTCCTGCTTCCCGATGGCACAATGCAGAGTTCAGTGCTAAGCAGGATCTGCCTTCTGAGAGTCAGCAGCTGAGGGGTTAACAGCTGACCCTCCCCTCACCCTGCAAGGTCGGACTTTCCGCTCTTCTCCCATGTTTAGTCTGCCAACCTGCATTAGCCATGTTTGTCAGATCTAATCAAACTAAAGCTTTATTTTCTGCCTCGGTGAAAACAACGAGCAGGTGTACATTCCTAAAAACTTTCCAAGAGATAGGCCCATGGAGTTTATTAAATCGAATAAAATGTTTTTCCCGTAATGTTTTCTAACAGGTCAAATAAAACCACTTTAATGCCAAAGTTTTGCTGCTCCGCAGGACAGATTCGTGTAGACGGCTCAGTGCAGATGGTGAGTCTTAGCAGCTCGTGACCCTTGAAAACTGGAGAGGCTGTTTCCAGTAAAATAAGATCACGCTGCCAAAGAATTTTTTTTCTCACTTAGTGTCTGGCAAAAGCTACCGCGGTCCACGCCGTGGTTTTGGCTCCCCTTTCACCTGTCAGCAATTTTAATTAAACCTGTGCCTAATTTGTTTTGGCCACAGTAGTGCTTGGTGTGGTGCCCAAATCTCTTTTGAGACCTCTTCAACAGGGGGCTCCTCTGCAAAGATGCTTGCAACAATACTTCTTCAGTGGTTTGTAATGCAAAGCTAAAACTCAAACGACCACTAACCACTAGCTATACACAAATTTGACCTTTGTGTCGTGAGTCCCACTTCACCTTTCCAGTGTTAAAGTTTCTAAATATAGCATTCCTCTACAGTGTAACCAATTATTTGAACCAATCAGCTGCCCTCCACTGAAACCTGTCCCTCCAACTCTTCTTAAAATACAAGAAACACGTGATACACAGAAATTCCTCCTGAAATTATTACAGATAAGCTGCCCGTCAGCGCCACGTAAGAGGTCTAGAGCCTCAACTCTACATTCATTAACCTCTCATTACTGACCTCCTTAAAAGTTAATGTTAGACATTTACCCTGCAGTGCAGGATTTTTGCATATAAATGAACATTCTTTTACATTCGACCCTCTTTGCCAAATGAGTTCGCATAATTTTCATTAACCA